CGAGCTCCGCCTCGACAAGCGGCTGCATGTCTGTCGGGTGGTGCAGGATCGCATCAGCGAGGTACGCCAGGGCGTCTTGGTCGGGCGGGGGAAGGCCTCTTGGTAGTAAGGCGTGGGCCCGTGAGAGGTATGGCGGCAAAGGTGCCGTGAAAGCTTCAGGGCCGACAAGCTGGGCACGAGCACCCTGGTATTCCAGAAGGAGGCCAACGTAGCGGGTGGAATACTCGCGGCTGCCCTGGATACGAGTGAGGTTGCGGTTTGTGCGCTGTCTGCCGGGGCCCGCTCTATACCAGATGTCCTCGCACATGTCGAACGCGGTGAGCTGGCGCAGGGCGTCGGTTGTGTCCTCAGAGTCCTCCTGAAAGAGGTGATCGTACTGTGGCAGATGAAGCGTCGCCAGGATGTACGGGACGCAGTCCTCGAGCCATGCCCAGAACACGTCCTGGTGGTCCTCACCTGGTGCCCACGCCTCAGCGCACGGTATGAGCCGGCCGCGGATCATCATCAGGTGCCAGAAAGCGGGGTCCTCCTCGGGTTCGCCCCTAGCGCACAGGGGGGTGGTGAGACCCGTGGGGCTATAGCGGGGCACGACAGCGGGGCTGAAGCCGCCACTGCGTGCCTGGCCAGTATCAACGTCCCCGTCAAGGATCTGCTGCACCACGGTCGAGGCCACGCTGGGGGTGGATTTCGATGCATGTGTCGTAGTTGACAAGGGCGTGCATGCGCTCTCGCTGGCGCCCAGCGATCCGTTGCCGCACGGACCCGCGGCGGCGGTGCTGTTCACGATCGGGTCCAAAATGGTGCAGTGATCGTACTTGTAGATGCTGTCATCGTAAAGGTAGAAAAGAGTCCCACGTTCAGCATGTCGCAGGAAAACCTCACCTCCATGCTGGGGCGCACCGCCTGAAGACGGGTGTGCCCCAGCGAGCGAGGGGAGGGCCAGGCTGCAGGCAAGGCGCCACATGATGGCGAGGCCTGGCGGGCGGCGCGAGCGATGAGCCAAAGGCTGCATGTCAGCACGCATCCTCAGATACCCCTGCATGCTCATGTACATTGCAACAATCACGCCCCCTGCAAGATGACGGGTGTCCCTACACCAGATAGCTTGCGCGTGCTGCTGCCAAAACTGACATGATATGACAAGAAAGAGATACGACGCGAAGAGAGACGAGATGCCTCTGAAGGCGCTTCCTCGGAGGGCTGAGGCAGGCTCTCTGAGGCACCTTCAATAGGGTTCCTGGTGACCCGACCCTTGTCTTTGCCTTTGTCAGCCCCTGGGGGCCCCGTCCCTGGGGTGACCTGGCCTGGCTGGTCGATCCACCCGCAGACAGCCACGGGATCGGCAACTGATGCAGCTTCCTCCTTCTTAGTTTCGAGAGTGGCCACCTGTGGCAGGTGGATGGTGCCCCCCGTGAGGTGCCCGAGGAGGGCCTGGATGTCGCCACGCAGTGCAGCGGCTTCGGCGGTTGCCGTCTGTTGCTGAGTGACGACGGTGGCAAGCCCCCGTTCCAAACCTGAGACGTGCTCCGTGAGTGTGGCCTGGGAGGAGAGAACGCCCGCAAGCTGAACCTGCATGTTATCCACCGTGTTGGCAAGCAGCTCATGCTGTTGTTCCATGTGTTGGATGCGGGTCGTGGCGGCATCTGGCAGTTTAGGGGCCGATGCGAAGCGTTCGCCGAAGGTGTTGAGTTCGTGGGAAGCCACGCTGTATTCATCACCTGATGAGAGGATCTCGACGTCGTCAGCGTCGCCTGGTACTTCGGCCGCTGTGGCAGCGTCCCCTTCGGTGTGGCCCCCACCTTCAGCCGCCACCGTGCCAAGCTGCGGGTCATGACCACCTGATCCTTAGACGGCCGTCTGCTCGGCAAAAAAAAAAGAGAAAAAAATAAACAAAAAAGAAAAAGAAAAATAAGAAAAAAAAAAGCAAAAAGAGAATAAAAAAAAAGAAAAAAAAAAAAAATAAAACAGCAAAAACACATAATAAAAAACCAAAAAAAAAAAAAAAAAATGGCCCTCTCCATCCGTGCCGTGCGGGGGTGCTGAGGAGCTGCGGCCTGGGGCGCCGTGTGGTCTTGCGTGCGGCGTGGCGTTGCGTTTCCCACTGGAGGATCGGTGGCGCTTGGCTAGAGGCTCCTCCTTGGGGATCAGGAGCGGTGCGACGCCCTTGCCTTTGGGCGTGGCAGTCATGAGGTCGTGGAGGTAAGGGCTCTGGGCCGCTTTGGTGAGGAGTGTGCCAGTGGCGGGGCTGAAGCCGCCACCACGGGCTGGCGGCGTCACAGGCTCTGTGATGGTGGTAGGCGTGACAATGGTAACGTTGTCCCTCTTCGGCACCACCTCAGCCAGCGGGGCCTCGGTGATGCTCCACGGGATGGGGCACCCTGCGACCCGTACCGTATATGTGAGTGGGGGACGATGGGCGCGCACTAAGGCAAACTGAGCCGAAGTGGCTGGGTCCCAGGCGGTGTGGTAGACCTCGCAGTCCCATTTAACGGACGGGCCCGTGAGAGTCTTGGCGAGCTGGCTCAGCGTGGCGTGGCGTGCCGCAATGCCAGTGATGCGGTAGCGCGTCTTGGCGAGGGTGGCTTCGCAGCCGCGGATGCTGACGGCAGCAGCCTTGGCGGCGTCTGACCCTCGTGAAACACGGATCCCCAATCAGCCTGACTTGCCGTGCCTGACGACTCCCAGGGCCTTGAAATCCACCGACTTCTGGAACGCATCTGCCATCGTGATGGGCTGGTCCTCAGGGAACCACCCGGTCTGGTACTTGTCTGCAGTGGGCTCGTCTGCACCTACGTTGCTGAGGTCGTAGGTGGCGCCGAGTTGCCCTGAACCCGCCAAGACCTTGTCAACCGCTTGAAGACTGACGCCGAAGGTGGCAGCCAGGGACCTCATTCCGACGCCCGATCCATACCTGCCTAGGCTTTTGCAGGGTTCGAGGATGGTGACGGCTTTAAAGTTGCCGTGGAAGAGGGCCTTGAAGGTGTCCTGGAGCTGACTATCGAGCTCCTGGCGGCGAGCGTCTTTCTTGGACTCCCTGTGCTTTTGGTTTTGGCGCGCCTTGTCCTGTGGAGCAGAGTCCCCTCGAAAAGGGCCCTTGGTGCGTGGACCACCGTTCACGGGGGCACCTCCCGAGAACTGGTCCTCGAAGGCCTGATGCATGGAGGGGACTGCGGCGATGGCCTCGGGTTCATGTATGGTCGCCCGAATCCAGCATACGTGGTCGGCAGGGTCGATGGTGGCGACGGCAACTTTTTCCGTGCAGGCGACTTCCTTGGTGCCCAGCTGGTACACGGTCACGGGGGCGTGCGTGTGGACCACTTTGGGCGCCTTGGGGTGACGCTTCAGCACGGGGACGGCGAGCTCGGTACCGACGTAGTTATCGTTTTTTGGGCCCATGACAGCAATCGCAAGCTGACCCGTGGTACGCTTACCCTGCTCGAGGTGGTGTTGCAGCAGCAGTTCACCGCTCTCGTAGTCGTGGAGGCTGATACTGGGCTTGTACGTCTTGCCGTCGTCAGGTGATGTGGGTTCGGCGAGGACTGGGACCTTCCAAAAGGCCGGGTCCAAGGCAATGAATTGGGTGTCCGCAGCCTGAAGACGTGCGGACCCAGCTGGTGGGTGTGATGTGTCACCGCCAATGCGCTTAGGCTTGCTGCGCTGGTGGTGATCCAGCGGGTAGCTGATCTGGTTGGCGGCGCACATGCGGATCAAGGCACTGCCGAGCTTCTTCGTGTTGGTCTTGTGCATGTCGTACGTGGCCTGGAGCTCATCCGCGTTCAGCTCGGCAAGCCCGTTGTATGCGGCCGTGGGGCGGTCAGACCCCGCTTGCTTGAAAGCTGCGATGCAGTCCTGCTTGCGTTGGAGGAGAGACCCTTCAGCAGCAGGACGTGAGCTCGGCGGCTGCTTGGAAGAGCGACGGCGCTCCGGCTTACCGGGGGCCATTGCGGCGGGCGCTCTGGAGGGAGAGAGGTGACGCGAATCAGTAGGGTCCTGCTGGGACCCCTCCGGTCTCGCGAGGCCTGGGAGTCTGGCTCCGAGGCGGGGCGCTTCGCGTCGCGGCTGCGGTCTGAGTGCCGGGCACTCTCGAGCCGAGACTAGAGAGAGAGGGAGAGAGAGAGAGAGAGAGAGAGAGAGAGAGAGAGAGAGAGAGAGAGAGAGAGAGAGAGAGAAGGAAGAGAGAGGAGAGAAGAGAGAGATGAGAGAGAGGAGAGAGAGGGAGAGAGAGAGAGAGAGAGAGAGAGAGAGAGAGAGAGAGAGAGAGAGAGTGGGCGGAGAGGGGGATCTGGGCTAGGGACTCCTCGCACTGGGCAACAGGGCGGACAGGCTGCCTGAATCTGTTCGCGATCAGTTCGGGAAACTGCCGGGACAGTCGCCCCGGACAGTGAAACTCCCGAGGATCTCTCAAACGGTCTATCCAGAAGCACGGGTGACCCGAGGGGGGGGAAACAATTCCGCGGTGCATTCTAACTTCGAGAAAACATCGCCTTCTTAGGCAGATTGACTACAGCCCCGAGGGCCGCGAGAAGAAAGCCGGGAAAAAGCAAGGGCAAATCCTTCTCAATCATATCTACCTCTAAAACGCCATGTGCTTTCTCGATGCCCGTCGGGATCAGAGCTGTCGAGAGCACTTCTGTCTTGCCCCCGGCGCCTGGCCGTGCGCGCTGGAGTGACCGCCTGCCTTCCGCAGTCGATCTCCCGAGCTCTGTCCAAGAACGCTGCGCTGGCAGTATCGCCGATCCGTCTTGAGCTTCCGATTCAGCTCTTCTGTTCTGGCGCCACGTCTTGCGGCGATCCGCCTGCGCGGTTGCCAGCACAATCGGAACGTCGGCCTCGCTCAAATCTTTCTGCTCGATTGCGTCCAGCAGCGCATACTCCGTGTCCGTGTCCAGGGATGAGACGTCCTCGCAGCTCAACAGAGCTTCCTGTGGCTCCACGGGATAGGACGAGGGCGCGGAACCACCGTGCGTCATCATCGATCGCCTGGTCCCTACCATGGTCTCCTTCTTGGTGATGTCTAGCTCCCGAATCGCCGCCAGCGCCGCCGAGTGCGACGCGTCGCCCTTGGTGGGCGCGCGGATGAGGCGCAGGCTGGCGTCGTCCAGGGCCGCGCTCTCTCGAGGAAGAGGGCCTTCCACTCGTCCGGCATGGCGAGCCCCTGAGCGGCTATCCTGTCGAACTGGTGATCCAGACGAGCCGCGAAAGACGTCGACGTCTCCGCATTGCGCCTCTGGTGCTGGAACAAACATTCCCGTGCGGTCCGTCTGCGCTCGTCATCATGCTCTTCTCCGGAAAGGAGGTCGAGCTGGCGGAGCACGTGCTCTACGCCTTGCTCGCTGGTGAGCTGCTCGTCCGTGATGCACTCGAGCTTGCGCTGCAACTCGGCATCCAACATCTTGAGTACCCGATCTGCCTTTTTGGAGGGAATCACGTCTGTGGCCCTCGACCACCTCAACACCTTCCTCTTCCACAACCTGTAGTCGGGCCAGCCCATCCACGCTTCTGCATCCGTGAAGTATCCTCGCTTGCCGGCGTCCTGCTGCCACCAGCCTTTTGTCCAACTGCCGCCATAGGAGCCCCACGACTCCTGCTTCCACTGCTGTTCTGCGTGGTGTGGCTTGGCGTCCGTGTTACTGTTGTCCCCTGTCCAGGGGTCTCTGCCGTCATCATGCCAAAGATCTCCACTGGGCTGCCCCTTCCACCTATCGCCTTGAGCGTCACCTGCTGGATCTCGCCACCGGTGAGTATGCCAACCTCCCAACGCTGAGGCTGGCTGCCACCCGTGATCCTGATCAACACCCCCTGCAGGTTCTGCTCGCACTGACCGATCTTCGACCTGGGGCGCGAGAGCTAGTGATCGGTCGGCACCTCTGTCATGCCCTCGAAGCCCTTCGCGCACCAACTGCTTGACTACCTTCCCGAAGTCCTCGATTGACATCGCGGACAGCGCTGGCGCCGCGGGACTGGTCTCGCCCAGGCCTTCAGCTCCATCTACGTCGTCTGGAACCTCACCGGGCGGCGCCTCCGACATGTCTTGGCACACCGGCGGGCTCCGAGAGCGAGAGTGCGCAGAGCGTATTGGAGCCGAGGAAGACACCCGGCTCCGCTACCACTATGAATCCAACTGCTCTCAGAACCCAGGCCGATGTGGACGGATAGATGCGATACTCGGAGGTTTCTGTGACAAACCTAACACACAGAGGTGCCTAGTGCCCAAATGGCCATGGACAGAAACTCAACTATACAAACTCCCTGGCACTCATACAAACGAACGCACATACTTACAGCTCACATGGGTTAGCATTCCAGACTGAATATCGTCACACGGTGATTTCTTCTTTGCCAGATCACGCTGGATTAAGCCCAGGATAAAGCCCGAATGCGCCACAATACCAGTGCCGATGCTAAACAAGTAACGCTCCAGGAGATGCACTCTCTATTGGGGAGGGGCGACCCTCCAAGGAAGGCGGGAGGAGGGGTCTTCTTGGGAGGGCCCGTTGGGGGGGCGCGGGGGGAGGGGGGGGCGCCGAAGAGGCCCTCGGCGCCCCTCTCGAACCCCCCGCCGTCGCCCTTCGTGGCCCGATTCCCACTAGCCACCACTACTGGCGGGAGGCACATCGCGGGCCTCGGCGCGCGTTGGGCCCTCTTGCGAGCCTGGCCAGGAACCATCGGGGCCTGGGGGGCGCCTGCGATGTCCTACCTGCGCAGTCTGAACCCACAGTGAAGCTGCGAGACGCATCCCAACTAAGAATGCAGGAGCCGCGGGCCTCCACGTGAGACACTTGCAGCGACATCGAAACGACGTAATTAGTTCTAGATCGGGTGTTACTAGAAGTGCCCCTGGCCCTAGGTGACCCCAATTTTTCGCTCAGTGTTGGAGCCCCTGTGGCCGTGTGGGCCTCGTGCGGAGTGCTGTGGAAGCCGTCTGGGTCACCCAGAGAATGATGAGGGCACCTTGGGCCAGGAGCACGTCTAGCAACAGAGTCGGGTGCATGGCTGAAGGTGGACCGAAGAAGCAGCGATGCAAAAATGGGAGAGAGCGTGATCCATCGCAACTTTGCTGTGGAAAATTCCCCCCCTCTTCCTCCGGAACCCAGGGGTCCCCCCCTTCGAAGATCTCCTCCACCCCCCCTGCTGACCCCCCCCCCCCTTCCCCCGACAAAACCCCTCCCCCCCCTAACCCCCCCACCCCTCCGGAAAACCTGGAAGGGTCGCCAATTCGAACCGCCCCCCCATCAAGAAAACCAGGGGTCGCCGCCGGCAAACGATTCGGAACAATGGGACAGAAAAAAACCGGGTGGGGGTCACTACGGGTTCGAACCCCCCCCCTCCAGAAACCGGGGGGGTCACTACCGGTTCGAATCCCCCCTCCAAAAAGAAAACTGGCGGGGGGTCACTACCGGTTCGAAGCCCCCTACCGCCTCGCCGCCGGCAAACGATTCCCGCTCCTCGTAACAGTGGGACAGCGGAAAACCGGGGGGGGGTCACTACCGGTTCGAACCCCCCCCCCCCTCGAAAACCGAAAGGGGTGTCACTACCAACGAACCCCCCCCCTCCAGAAAACCGGGGGGCTAAAGCCAGTTCGAAACCCCCTTACCCCCCCCCCTCACCGCCGCTAACGGAACGTGCGGCGAGGACGAGCGGAGGAAACGCATACGTCCGAATCCCCCACCACTAAGCTGTCCGCACCACACACCCCACCGCTGTCCCCAGCACCACCGTCCACACCACCACTGTTCCCACTTTTCCCACCACCGTCCCCACTGTCCCAACCAGTCCCCCACCACTGTCGCACTGTCCCCACTGTCCCAACCACCGTTCCCACCACGGTCCCACTCTCCCGACTTCGCCCACGGTCCCCACCACTGTCCCACTGTCTCCACCGTCCCCAATGTCCCACTGTCCCCGCCGCTGTCCCACTGAGCTGTCCCACTGTTCCCGCCACTGTCCCCACCACTGTCCCCACTGCATCCCTGTCCCACCACCGTCCTCAACGCCGCCCTCACCACTGTCCCCACCACCACCGTCCCCACCACTGTCCCACTGTCCCCACTGTCCCCACCACTGTCCCACTGTCCCCACACCACTGTCCCCACCACCACCGTCCCCACCACCACCGTTCCCACCACTGTCCCACTATCCCCACCACTGTCCCAGTGTGCCCACTGTTCCCACCATTGTCCCCGCTGTCCCCACTAGTGCCCCCACCAAGTTCTCACTGTCCCCACTGTTCCCACCATTATCCCACCACGGTCCCACTCTCCCCGTTGTCCCCGCTGTCCCCACCCCTGTCCAACTGTCACCACCGTCCCCACCGCTGTCCCACTGTGCTGTCCAACTGTCCCCACCACTGTCCCACTGTCCCCACCAATGCCCACAACTCTCCCACCTGTACCACGGTCCCACCACCGTCCTCACTACCGCCTTCACCACTGTCCCCACCACTACCGTCCCCACCACTGTCCCACTGTCCTCACTGTCCCCACCACTGTCCCGCTGTCCCCTCACCAGTCCCCACCACCACTGTCCCCACCACTGTCCCACTGTCCCCGCCACTGTCCCACTGTCCCCACACCACTGTCCCCACCACCACCATCTCCACCACTGTCCTGGTGTCCCCACCACTGTCCCACTGTCCCGAGGAGCGAGAACCGTTTGCCGGCAACTGGGGGGAGGGGTTGGAGGAGGGTTCGAACCGGTAGTGACCCCCCGCCAGTTTTCGAAGGGGGGGGAGGGGGGACGGCTTGGGACCCCCCAGTGACCCCCCCTCCGTTTTCCGCCAGCAGCGGTAGAACACGCTCTTTCAAAAATGGCAACGATGAGGTCCTGAATCAATTGTACAGACTTTGACTGTACCCAAACCTCCAGCGTCGTGTCTTTGAATACGTGCCGTCCTTCCCCCGGAGATCTCGACCCCTCACCTGGGACCTGTTTTTCCTGCCGCATATTTGTTGACAGTCCCAGTGCCAGGAGAATGGCGTTGATTGCCAGATGTTGCAAAAAGCTGCAGTGTTGACTCAAGAAGCCGGAGGTCTAGTTCACTCCTCAAACATCCCCTCTGGACCTGTCCGGTAGTGCGTTTGCGCCAAGATGTCAAGAGGGGAATCTGGCTGTGGAAACGCGGCCCCGCGGAGGCCCCCAAACGCGCCGGCATCATGGCAGAGTTGAAACGGAAGAGGAGGAGGAGGAGGAGGAGGAGGAGGAGGAGGAGGAGAGGGACGACGAAGAGGAAGGGGGAGGAGGAGGAGGGGAGGGTGAGGAGGATCACTTTTTTTCCATGTGCGAGTATCCACCAACTTGGACAGGTAGCACTGGGTGGAACCTTACACCCCCCTGAGGTCGGCATCTGCTCATGTCCAGCGCGACGCGACGTCCTCGTGGGCGCGCTCTCGATCGACGGCTATGGATACGTAGCTCATTGCGTGGACGGGCCGTGCCCCCGTCAAGGGTCGATCCCTGGACCGCTCTGGGAAGGTTTTTTGGCCTTGGATTTTGTGGGGAGCCTGGTCGGGGTCTTCGAACCTCGATTCTCCTCTTCAGCGATCCCCCCGGCGTGGTAACGTGGAGGAGGAACTCCGCACCAAAAGCCTTTGATCTTTGAGCTTCGATTACTGCCGGGAACGTGTGCAATCCGTTCTCCCGTTCAGCTTGGTAGTGAGCTGGGCAGAATCCTCTCAGTGACATTGTGGCAGCGGCTGCAGCGGACAGGCAAAAAGAGAGGAAGGAGGGAATAAAGAGAGAGAGAGAGAGGGACAGAGAGAGAGAGAGGACGAGAAAAAGACAGAGAGATCTTCGTTCCCTGACTAGAGCGAGGCACGCTTGAGCGAGTCCGCCTCCGAATCGTTCCATGAACACGGCCTGGACGTGTGGTGGGCCTTGAGCCTCCACCGTCGCGGTGCAGTAAAGCGGTGAAGTGGACGGAAAGGAAAATGGGCATATGATGATACAGTGTGTGGGTGGGTGGGTGGGTGGGTGGGTGGAGAGAAGCAGAGAGAGAGAAAGAGAGAGAGAGAGAAAGAGAGAGACAGACCCGAATCTGCAACTCGCAAGTGTTACAAGGGGGCAGTTCACGCACTTTTCCCTCGCTCGACGACACACGGCTGCAATCATGGCGAGGCCCACAGCTTCCAATCGCGCAACTGATCCTCTGGTACTCTGGAATATTCACGATGGACGCTGGAACGCCTGCGATATCTGCTGCACCCTGGAGCAAGCAAGCAAGCCTCGTGAGTGTTGGCCCCGCGGGGAATGCAGTACGCCTTCAGCGTCGCAGCGATAAGAGAATCAAGGCTGGGAGTCACAACGCACCAAGCTAGGGAAAACCCGATCCCCAAGAACAGGCCGCAAAAGAGCATCCCGCACACGGACAGGAAACTGTAGGGAATACGCATCGCTCGTTTAAGTTGCTGTCCATCCCATCGGATGTTTTGAAGTTCCCACGGAGGATGGCCAGATCTGGTTCCCACGAAGGATGGCCATGACCCGCTGGGCCTTGGCCGCCATGGAGGCGGGCGGTGTACGGCGTGGGTAGTGGGTGTGGATGACCTTGCGGGCCTGGCCGAGCACTGCCTTGTTGGCTATCGCCTGCTCAAGCATCGTCGTGGCCTGCCTGATGTCAATGTTATCCACGGTCTTCTAGCTCTTGTCCAGGATCGACTGGGGCCTACCCAACTCCTCGCGTCTGAGCTGGTCGGGCGGGGCCTTCCCGGTCTTCGCGTAGTCCCCCTGCCGGTGGCCTGGCGGCGTCTTTAGCGCGGGCCGCATGCCCGCGCCCTCGGGCCTCGCGGGGGGCGAAGTGGTTCTCGAGCGTGCCCTTGGATGCGGCGGCAAGCCGCTCGCCCTGCCCCCCCAGGCGGAACTTCGCGCCCGCGTCCTTCTTCTGCTGGAGGATGGCGGCGTGCTCGATGTCGATATTGGCGCGCTGATCGCGGGCACTCGCGAGCTCCGCCTCGCTGAGCTCGGGGGCCTCGCCGTCGCGGCGAGGCGACGTCGAGCGAGGCGGGGGGGCGCGTCCACGGCCGCGTCGGCCACGTCCACGCTCGCAGTGCACGCGGCGAACGTCGCGGCTCCGTCGCTCGCGACCGACGCAGCCCGCGTGGCCGTCGCGGCCGCGCGCGTCTCCGCGGATGCCAAAGTCGCCGTCGTCGTCGGAGCGGCGCCCATCTCCGCGGCGTTCGCGCCGAGGCTGAGGGGCACTTCGATCGCTGCCCATCCAAGGGCCGCGCTGCTGTCGCGGCTCGCCGCGGCCCGCCATCGGGCCCGCCTCTGGCTGGTAGAACCCGCGGGCCCAGAGTCGAGCGGCGGCTCGCAATCGCTGGGCCGA